GAAAAGGTAGGAGAGAGAGATAGAGAGAGAGAGAGAGAGAGAGAGGTTGTATAACTTCACCAACCTCATGCATCAAATACTTCGAGAAATCCTTGGCATATGAAACTTCTCCAGGATGAAGCTTATGTATGATTGGCATCAAGTCTTCCTCTGTCAAAAACCTGCTCCAAATATTTCAAGGCTTTTGTTACATAGCTGAAAAGGGTGATAATTTTAATTGAAACTTATTCAATCCATTGTTTGGGCTCATAACAAATTAAAAGTTGCTTTTTTTACTCAACCTAGAACCTTGAGCATTGTCCACGGACATGCTGTAGGGGTAACCCATTACCTTCTAGATGGAATTGCCACAACATGGGCATTCTTCTTAGCAAGAATTAATGAAGAAACACTACCATGCATGTGCCACGTGCATGAATCCATGCACATCTACATGTCTGTGTTTGTGTATATGTATGCATACATGTATGTACAACAAGCATGTATGTATTTGTGTGTCCACACTACAAAAATATAGATACATAACATAGAAATGAGTGTTAAAAACATCACCTCTAAAACTGGTTTTCCAAACAAAGTACATCTATATGTCATTTAAATTGAGGGAAAGGTGGGATGATAGATGAAATTAGCATGTTTTTAAAGTGAGAATCCAACGGAAAAGGTTAACAAGAAGTGTCAAAAGTCGTCTAAGGATTGAGTGTATCTTTCAGAGTTTTGACTAGTGCCAAAAAACATGGAAACACGTGTCTATGAACAAATATGTTTGTATTTATGATGCATAGATGAAAATACCCTGAAATAACATATGCTGTACATTTAAAACATGCATGCTTGTGTATATGTTGCTCTGTGGGTATCTGTTTGCAGATGTACATGTGCTTTTTGGGTAGATGATGTATGAATGTGTGTATGCATGTATGTACAAGCATTGATGTATTCATTTGTGTGTGCATTTAGATATATCCATAAGTACCTTTACATGAGAAATGATGAAGATATAAAACATGCAGGATATATAAGTACAGAAACAATGAAAGCATTCAAAGAGAGAGATATTCATGAAGAATTGAATATTGTCAAAAAAAAAAAAAAGATATTCATGAAGAATGTACTTCTGTGGCAATACACTACACTTCCTCCCATGACCAAAAGACCTACTTACAAGAATTCTCTAGAAATGAGATTTTGGGAACCACTTTGGAATCACTAGACGAGCATTTAAAAAATAAACAAATAAATTGTGTGCCTAAACACTAAGATCTGACTGTAAAAAAATTGGGACAGCCTTTACTCAATGCTATAACACTTTATTTTTTCTCAAGCAATACATACATACACACACACACACATGCACACAAGCACGCACACACACACACATGCACACAAGCACGCACACACACACACATGCACACACATACACACACGCACGCACACACAGACACAAACACACGCGCACACACACACACACTTAAGGTTGCAACCTTTCATGTAGAAGATTACAGTAATCTGTACCGTCCATTTTATTTGAATAGTGTAGATTTGGCACTACCTTAAAAAACATGTCACTTTTTGACATGGTCTTAATAGATACATCACATCTATACTATCCAACTAAATTGGACGGTATAGAACATCACAATTGCAGCCTTAAATAAACCTCATATACAATAGTGGCTACATTGAGAAGGTTACATTCCTGAAACTCTAAAAATACTATTAGTCAGGGCTTTATTACAGGGAATAAATGTTCATTATGCTCCCACAGAAGCATGTAATCTTTTGGCTTCATGAAGAGATGACATACCCATCCTTGTTGATATCAAGCTTTGCAAATATTTGTTTTGGAGTGGATTTGTCTTTGAGAGCATCATCCAAGTGCTCAAACTCATCGATATTATTGTAGATATTATAAGCTTTGTCTTGAAATTCAGAGAGATCAACCTTACTATCATTGTTTCGATCCATTTCTCTGCCAAAAAGATGCATGGTAAGCTTAAATCGATGAAGATCACAATTACTGACTGGTTCTAGATGAATTTATCAGTCATCTAGTGTATAGCAGGGTTTTATAGCTCTCAGAACATTTGGAGATGCATCTCTCTCTCTCTCTCTCTCACACACACACACACACACACACACATGCACACACACACAACAAAAAAAACAACAGAGGGTCATCGAAAAGAATTTTGGGCTTACCTTATTTTCCCTTTACAAAGCCATTGCAGAATCTTTGGCTCTTGACAATCTTCGGGGTGCCAAAAACTGCAAAGAAAATGAAAATTCAAAAGAGAATTCTCGACAAAGATGCATAATAATTCCTGACAATAGAATGCAGAACAAGTTTAGCAATTGAGAGCAAACCATACTTATTGAACTCAGTGAGATTTAGAGATCCATTGCCATCTTCATCTGCATTACGGAACTGCTCCCTCCACCATCCAGGATGACCATTCGCCATGTTGTTAATCTCTATTACAAGATAACCAATTCATGATTCTCAAAAGAAAAAAAAAGAAAAAAAATGAAACAAAAGCAGTTTTATTGAATCCTGTAAATACTAAAAGAAATATGTAAAAAATGTATGAGAATGTAAATAGTGAACAAGTTTCAAGGATACATTACATTTAATTTCCCGCATTTGCTTTGGGGTCATATAATACAATAGTTTATTAACCTAAGGGTTTACTATTGTATCATACATCATCATGTTACCCAGACACTCCTGCAATTTCACATGTCGACATTTGAACACCTAGTCAGACACTTTCAGACATGGGGGACATTAAAAAAGTACTAGAGCACAAGGCTAGGGCTTGAACCCAGGAGATCTTGTGGTATGCTTATGCACACCACGCCAACCACATATTATTACGACAAATATGAACTATTAAAAAATATCTATTGAAAAATCTATTATTTTACTATGTAAAATTTATAGAAAATAAATATCATCTACACGTTAAAAAATCTATTATTTTATTACAAAATAATAATGTACCAATGTCTCTTCCTGTGTCGTACTTTAGGCCGTTGCATCTGACACTTAGGCATCGGATTAGGACACCAGTGTCCCTGTCTAGGTAACATAGCATTACACACATTTGTTAACATCATAACATGTATCAGACTTTTGAACCCTAAGAATTTTGATGCAAGTAATTTTTTTGTAGGGGAATTTCCATCATTTATCATGGTTAGAATGAAAATTTGCTATTCAAACATTGCAATATGTAAGCAATTACTCACACTTTTGAACAAGATGTTTACAAGAAAATAGGGAACAGATGGGTGTAAAAAGGAAATCAGTATGGTTGCATCCTGGTTTAGTATCTTTAGCATGATAATACATAAATGATGGTCTAACCCCATAGACTCTCTCTCTCTCTCTCTCTCTCTCTCTCTCTCTCTCTCCCTCTCCCTCTCCCTCTCCCTCTCCCTCTCCCTCTCTCTCTCCCTACATAGAGAGCTCTCTCAGACTTAAATTCTGGATGGAATGTTCCTATCCTCTAGAATTGCAGTTTTGATTTATTTTATGGTGTGTACATTGGTATTTCTCCTCTTAATTTTGGTTTCTCTCTCCTGTCATGTTTCCTTTAGAGAACCAACATTCCAGCTACTTATCATGAAGTATCAGAGATTGTCATAATAACGGTAACTAAAGCAAGGAGTATAAAGAATCAAAACAAAGGGAAAAAATGTATGTTCTATGTTTTCTTTGCAGCAAAAGTAAGCAAAGGGTATCTCCATATCTCTACTTTTCATTGACAAATAAGAAAACAACAATACAAGGGGAAGTGAGAATTACATATCAAGAATTTTACCAATAACAGGAGCAACCGGAAATAGGCTAAAGAATTTTTAATTGGAAATGCTAGAAAACCACAATTTGCAAACAGAGTTCTTTTCATCAAATCAGGGTTGGAAAACTCGGAGTTACTCAGGCTCAGCAGGCTGCCAGGTCCGGAACCAAACACATGGGAAGAGGCTGAATTTGGCCAGTTATTGTTTTTTTTGTTGGAATTGGCCGAGTCTGTCAGACCTGGGGGTCGGGACTGCAGTTTGTCCCGACCAGAGTCCTTATTTTTCAAAATGTAACAAATTAAGAAGTTAGGTAATAGAGCCCTGAATTCTTTAGGGGAAAACCAAGAAAATGGGCTGCACAATCCTCAATTTTTTTATGCTGGAAAATGTAAAATCTAGCACTCACAAATCCAATTCTTTAACAGTGAAAAGACAAATGAAAGTGGCATGGAATTCTTTATGGTACCTTAGTCTTCCCTAAAAAAGTAAAAACCAGCAAAATCTACCCCACTCTTTGCCTTAAAGACCTCAAAATTAGTGACATGGTGCCCTGTTCCTTCACTGGAAGAAACTAAAACCAGTAACATAATTACCCAAATTTTCATTGGAGAATGCAAAATCCAACAATGTGGTATCCCAAAATTCAGAGAAAATGGGCGTAAATGGATAATTGCAAGCTCAAATTTTCATCTGAAAATACAAAATCCAGCAACACAGTACCTACTTTTTCAGTTTTCAATGGAAAAGTAAACAGCTTCCATGGCCTACCCCGTTTTCCATTTGAAAAAGAAGAAGAAGAAGAAGAAAAGGGCGATGACTGGAACACTGGCAACTCCTTTTTCATCAGAAAAGCAAAGGGGGGCAATGCCAGGCATGAAAGAGAAACTAGTTGTCATTAGAAATTAAAAAAATAAAAATAACAAAAAAAGCAAAAACGAACTCAGATTTCCGCAATAGAAGAGAGAGAAACCCAGTTCTTCCTCAACCACAAAAAGGGAAGAAACCAGCTCCCACCATTAGAGAGAGAAAGCAAATAATACACCCAATTCGTCACACAAAGCATGAAAGAGAAACTCAATTTTTCCACCGTTAGCAATCCATTTCCACCCAAAATAGGGGGGAAACACAAAAGAAAAATCAACACAATTCTCCATGAATCAAGAGAGAAAAACCATTTCTCCATCAACCACAAGACCCATTTCGCACCATTAGAGAGGGAGGAAGAAAAACACGTTACCTAACTCTGCATCGGAAACATGAGAGAGAAACTCCCTCAGGGTCACGGTCCCATCTCCATCTTTATCACGATCCCTCATCTCTCTCTCCGTCTCTCTCTGCAACTTCTCGATAGCTTGCCTAACGTTCCAACCCTCAAGCTCTTCATAGCTCACAAAGCCATCTTTTGGCTTTACATCAATGAGAGGAAACAAAAAAACCAGTCTCCTCGTCACGTCATAAATCTCGCCGGAATTCGCCCCAAATTCGCCGGAATTTCCCCCCACTTCCCCAGAGTTTTCCCCTGAAAAGCCTGAATGGCCGGAATTTCGCTGGGAATTGCCAGAAAAATGAGCATTCCGGCCAAAGCTTTCCTCCCATTCTAAGTCGAAGAAAGAGGGGCGCGGTTCCTGTGGTCGCCGGGAAATGAGCCGGCGATGGCTGGACGTGGCCGGAGGTTTGCCGGAAAACGCGAGGAAGAGGAAGAGGCCTGTGGCTAATAGGGCGTAAGCCAAGAGGGGCTTCATCTTCCCGGCGTGTTTTGGCCGGCAAATTGGGGCTTGAGCCGGAAATCCCCCAATTCTGGCCGTTAAATTTTGGGGGTAAAAAACTGTAAATAGTGAGTGGGGTGAGATAGGTTTAAAAAGTTTTTAGTTTGTGAAAAAAACTAATTTTACGGCTTGAGATAAGGAAAGAGGATGGGATTTCTACTTTTTTTTCCTTTTTTTTTTTTATATTGAAATTATCACTAATATACTTTAATTTCAAGCAAACCACAAAAAAAAACCCGAACTTCCCAAAACTTCATCCCCACTTTTTTTTTTCTCAATTTTCAACATTTTCTAGACGAAAATACATTTACCGTAGTCTTTCTACTGTAGTATTACGGTACTAAATATGATTACATAAACATATATTACGGTACTTTAATTACTGTAAGAACATAGAGTATTACGGTAATTAAAATACCATAATAATTTTAAGTAGTATTAAGGTAATTTAAGTACACTAATATTGCCCAACTCAACATGACATATTTTTTACTCTTGAGAGCCTACTATTTATTTATTCCGTAGACAAAAATCTATGCTAGCTTTAATTTTATAAATCTCAAATTTTTAGGATATAATTTCTACTTAATTTTTATACGGTTCTCAAAATTTTAGAATGAAAACACGCTTAAATAGGTGTTTTTGAACGAGGGATTAGATCCACATCATGCTCCCATGAAAACATAGATTTTTTGAAAAAAGTATCGTGGATATTAGCTTGGTTTGAAGCTTAAAGTAATGGTACTAGAGTAATACTTTAAAGCTTCAAACTAAAGCTAATATTAGGAATACCCTTTTTAAAAAATCTATATTTTTATGGGAGCATGATGTGGATGTAATCCCTCATTTAAAAATACATATTTAAGCGTGTTTTCGTTCTAAAATTTTGAGAACTATATAAAAATTAAGCAAATATTATATCCTTTGATTTGGGCAATATTACGGTACTTAAATTACCGTAATACTACTTTAAAGTATTACGGTATTTAGTTACCGTAATACTCTATGTTATTAAGGTAATTAAAGTACCGTGATAGATGTTTATGTTATTACGGTACTAAAATTACCCTAATTTTATCTATATTTACAACGGTATTTTAATTACTGTAATTGTCGCAATGCATTACGGTAGAAAGACTACCGTAAAGGGTATTTCATCCAGAAAATACCGAAAATTAGAAAAAAGGATGTGGGCGAGGTTTTGAGAAGTTGGGGTTTTTTTACGATTTTCTTAAAATTAAGGTATATTAATGATAATTTTCCTTTATTTATTTGAAAAAACACATGAAAATCATGTCTAGTTTATTGGAATTTAAAAGTTTTTTATAAGGTAATTATTGCAAATATACCTATATTTTAGCTTAATTGGAAAAAAAAAGCCCAACTTTCAAAAACCTGATCTACACCGTAATTACTTGAAGTAATATTACGGTAATTAAAATATCGTAATAATTTGAAGTAATATTCAGATAATTAAAATACCGTAATAACTTAAAGTAGTATTACGGTACTTTAATTACTGTAATATCTTGAAGTAGTATTACGGTACTTTAACTACCATAATTGGTAACATTTTCTTAACGACATTCTTTCTAGGAAAAGATTTCTATGCTCTCCCTACAACACAAAAATTCTATCCTCCCCCTACCATCTAGCCATCTAATTTTGATCAAGAGAGCCACTGTTTGATCTTAGATTCGACATCTCAGAGTATTTTATTTTTAGTTTTTTTTATATAAATTGTATAAATATGAAATTTGGTACGTGTCATCTTCTCATTGGGGGGCACCTAAAAAGAACATTAAAAATAATTTATTGAATAAAATATAATGACCAAAATACCCCTTGAAAATTGCAGGGGTATTTTGATCATTTTATTTTATTGAAAATATTTTTTTTATATTTTTCGCTAGTGCAAGTGTAATAGAGGAATGAAAGTCCAAAATTTGGTTTCAAAATAGTTATAAAAAAAAAATAAAAAAGTAAAATAGTATAGAGACATGTCTTCCATTCAGAATGGACAGTTGGATAAGGGGGAGGATAGAACTTTTATGTTATAGGGGAAACATAAAAAGCTTGCCCTTGTTTCTATGGTAGTTACGCACCATGTATGGCTTCATGGAGAGAGAGAGAGAGATGAGACTTGGGGGAGAGAGAAGTTTTATGTGTGAGAGAAAGAATGAGAGAAAAGTGGCTTGGAGAGAAAGTTCAGGGGCGGATAGAGATAAGGAGGGATAGAGATGTTTTGTTGGGTTGGATTGAGAGGGATAGAGGGAGAAAGTTTAGGGAAAGAGGGGTATATGGGATTAAAAGTGCCCTATAAAATGAGTTAAACATTATGGTAGTTAAAGTACTGTATAAAATGGAAATATTATAGTGGAAAGAATGTACTAAAGAAAATGTTATTTACAGTACTTAAAAGTATCGCAATAGTACTTCAAGTTATTACGGTATTTTAATTATCGTAATACTACTTCAATTTATTACGATATTTATAATTACCGTAATACTACTTCAAGTTATTACGGTATTTTAATTATCGTAAAAATTAATATGAATTATTGTAAAATGACTACTGTGAAAGTTATTTTCGTAAAAAGAAACTTAAAAATGAAAAAAAATGGTGTAGACGAGGTTTTTGAAAGTTGGGATTTTTTTTCCAATTACGCTAAAATATAGGTATATTTGCGATGATTACCCTATTTTATACTATATTTTACACCTCACAAATAAATAAGATTCTTAAAATATGCCTGATTATTTTAGGGTATTTTAGTCATTTATTCTTTTGAATTATTTTTATTTTTTTAGTGTGGGATTATATATATATATATATATATATATAAAAGCTAACAATAGCTGACAAGCTATAATGAATAATAATATAGGTAGAATGGGAGCCGTCAGATATTCACTATACGGTTCATAATGCATATCACTGTTTTAATTTTAATTATTTTTCTATAAATCGGATCATAATGAAATTCTAGACATTCGCACTAAAAAATAGGACACATAAATAAAAAATATAAAAAAAATATTTTTCAAAATATAAAATGATCGAAACACCCCTGAAAAATGATGGGGGTAGCTTGGTCATTTAAAATTATTGAAAATAATTTTTTTATATTTTTATATGGTGCGCAATAATGTTAAGTATATACATCAAAAAATTCATATTAATTAGATTTATATAAAAAAATTAAAATAGTGATGTGCATTATGAACTGTATGATAAAGATCTGACGGCTCCCATTTCACCTATACACTATTCATTATAACTGGTTAGCCGTTGTAAG